CAAAATTTGGTTGAAATTGGTGAAGTAGTTCCGGAAATATAGGATTTCACCCAAAGATGTCCTTGCCACATTTACTTATTGAGTTATCGCACTTTTAGTAACTTTCCGTTGTATAGGGAGGTATCAGCTGATTTCAAATATTTTTACAGTGTTTGAAGACTTGCTCTATGAGTAAACTCTACTAATCTGCTTCTGGGCAAGCATAACTCAATCAAATACGTCTTTATATGTTAGGCTTCAACAATATTAATATATAATTCTTTAATATGAAGATTTGCTTTGATATATTGATTTTGAAGAGAATTTCTCAATTTCATACATACATACATGTGCATAACAGCAGTACTTTTTGTACAATAGTCTAAAGCGAGTTTGTTGCTCAAGTCTTTAGTGTTAGAGTTATTATTGCGTTTTGAGCGCAGGTTTATTATATTATTTGAATATAATAGTTCAATCACACTACGTTTATGTAACTCGGTATATATGTATAAACTCACACGGTTCGGTATTTATTTTCTGCCACTTTCATTTAAAAGCAATATGTATGTTATTTGTTTTTATTTTTGTTTACCTTTTTCTTAAATGTTATTGCTTTAATTGTTTCCTAATTAGGCCATTGCACCGCATCTTAATGAAATTCCACTCCAAAAATTCAGGGTTGAGTAATTAAAATTAAATTTTAATATCTTTAACAATATATTGTATACAAATTTAGTAGTACGGAAACTGATAAGAAAATAATATTGATAAAAGTATGTCGACATTTCGATATATACGAATATATATCGTAGTTTTAATTCGTCAAAAACTTTTATTAAAAAATACTTGTATTTTTATTAAAAAGTAATATAATTTCTATTAAAACCATAATAGCATTTTTATTTAAAAAAATGTATCAATGGTTTTTAATATGTTCTAAAATTTCAAGCAATAAATGATTTAGTCATCAATCGCTGTTTCTACATAAGATTCTTATCTTGAAAGACCATAAAAAATACTTATCTTGAAACATTTTTTGTAATGTAATTTCTAAATTTATTAACGAGAGTACATTTACAATTGTCACCAATATTTTATTAGCAATTAGTATAGCAATTAGTAAAGCATGGAGAGCGAAAATTTTAGTACTAAGTAGGTTCTTTAGATTATACTCATGTGGCCTTAATAGGTTTGGTGAATATAAAGTTTAATAATATATCCCTGTACAATTTTTGAAACACAACTGTATAATCGCATATACTTATCAGTATATGTTGTAGAAATATATTTTTCTACAAAAAATTTAAAATAAACGCGCTTTTTACTTACTCCACTCGACTGAACGCAGCACAGCTAGTTTTTTCGACACTTCCCCACTTGGTAAACGATATCAAAATCGTAATTATAAATACATACACAGAGATATGCATACTCAAAAAAGTATGTCGACGATTCAAAGTAAATATGCCACCTAGTTAAGCGTCTGTCAGCCAGAGCGGGCTTGAGTTGACTCACGTATGCGCATAAAGGCTAAGACAAAAACACGCGTGTATATGTATATACAGATTGGTTGAAAAGTTTCTGCGCTCAAAATGAAAAAATACTGTTGGTTCCAATTAATATTTTTATACTCTCGCAACCTGTTGCTACAGAGTATAATAGTTTTGTTCACCTAACGGTTGTTTGTATCACCTAAAACTAATCGAGTTAGATATAGGGTTATATATATATAAATGATCAGGATTAAGAGACGAGTTGAAAGCTCTAACTTGAGTAAAAATTGAGATATCTTTATGAAACTTGGCAAACATGTTTCTTGGTACCGTGAGACGGTTGGTATTGCAGATGGGCGTAATCGGACCACTGCCACGCCCACAAAACGCCATTAATCAAAAACAAATAAATTGCCATAACTAAGCTCCGCAATAAGATACAAGACTGTTATTTGGTACACAGAATCACATTAGGGAGCGGCATCTGCAGTTAAATTTTTTTTAAGTGGGCGTGGTCCCGCCCCTAATAGGTTTAATGTGCGTATCTCCTGAAGCTATAATAACAAAATTCACTGGAAGCAAATTTTTTTAAAACTTCTACCTACACTGTGAAAATAGTTGAAATCAGATGGCAGCTCCGCCCACTCCCCATATAACGGTACTGTTAAAAACTACTAAAAGCGCGATAAATCAAGCACGAAACACGCCAGAGACATTAAATTTTATCTCTGGGATGGTATGAGATAACTTTTTAGGAACCGCGTTCAAAATTAGACACCGCCCACTTTTAGATGAAAACCCATATCTTGGGATCTGCTTAACCGATTTCAACCAAATTCAGTGTATAACGTTCTTTTTATATTTCTATGTCATATTGTGAAAATGGGCGAAATCAGACTACAACCACGCCTATTTCCCATATAACACCATTTTTAATTCCATCTGATTATTTCACTTTCCACTATGCATATCAAGCAACAATGATTATATCGGGGTAAAACTTTGCGTGAATAATACGTATAAAGTATGCCATCTCGTGATTAAAAATTCTCTTAATCGAACCAAAACTGTTCATGCCCCTAAGTACTAAATATGTGGACCCCAGTGCCTATAGTTGACCTTCTACCGAAAATATCAGTCAATCCACAAAGAAATCTTAAACGAGTATACCATTTGACTTAGAGTATAAAATGTTCGGTTACATCCGAACTTAGCCCTTCCTTACTTGTTTTTATTAAATATAATCTCCCTTAACTTCAATACACTTATTCCAATGATCCTCCAAAATACCCGTGTATGGCTGTAATAGCATCTTCATTCGACGAAAAACGCTTTCCACGAAGAAATTGTTTCAGGTCTCTGAAGAGGTAGTAGTCGCTGGGAGCCAAATCTGGTGAATACGGTGGATGCTTAAGCAATTCGTACTTTAATTCGTTGAATTTTGTCATTGTTAAAACACCTATGTGCGCAGGTGTAAACCATCATCTAGCTGATCCAAAAGGCTGCAATAATATTCACAGTTGATTGTTTTAACTTTCTGCCATAACCTTCTTTGCTGATCGTTGTGACTTGACGTGCTTGGAGCTGAGCAACCAGCTTCAGTCCACTGTAAAAGTTCATGTTTCAATTTAGGATCATGGTGGTAGTTGTAAAACGATGCAAGAACTCGGTTATATTCTGCTTAAAACGCTCCAAATTTTGCTGAGAAATTTGTTTTCGATCAGGTTTTTGTTAAATTGTTAACGTGTGCGCCACTCACTTTCCAAACAGACTTTTCAACCAGTCTGTATATACATCTACTTATGCATATATGCCAACAAACAATGAAAGTTACAGTATAAATATTATATATACTTAACTACTGGTCTGTTAGTCCACCCCAAACAGTGGTCGGTGCATGCCATTTGCTGTTGGTGCGTGCCTGCAGTGAATTTTTTCGACTCGCACAACAGTTTTGGTTTTGAATTTAAAATATCGTTATTCGTTATGCAGTTACCCATCACTCAGTATAGTTGAGTGGCCGTATTAGCTGCGTTCATTATTGGTTCATTGCCTATTCGTTAATATATGCATTTGTATGTATCTACGTACATACTTGTGTTTGTTGCTTCGTTTATTTGATGAACTTTCACTTTTTATAAAATTTCGTTTTTAATTCTCTTTGATTGCACTTTAGCTAATTCAATAATTGCATTACTACTTTTTTCCTGTGCTTATGGTTAAGGTAATGTATTTGCCGTTGTGCATTTTTTCTACGTTGAAGTGTCGATGTAGTAAGTCTTTATGCACTTGCAATTCAAATTTCAATTATTTCGATAATTATAATTTTTTTTCTAAGCCAGTGTCTATATTTCGTTTGACTGATGTCAGATTTGACTAATAGGGAATGATTGCCTAGTTAATTGTAATGTATCCATTATCGTTTCTTAACAGAGATCCGTTGTGCAGCGGAAGTAAGTAGGAATTGACTTAAATTTTAGCGTTAAATAGTATTTCGCAATCTTTAAAACGTCTTTATTTTCAAAAATAAAGAAATAAATCAGAATTGATGTAAATTTCTTTTTTATTGATACAATTTTTATCAAACGCGAAAAATATTAAAGATTCAAGGAAAATTATTTAAAAATTTGTGAAATGTATCCAAAATGACATGAAATTGCTATAAAGCTTTCTGTTTTCTTAGGTTTTACAACTATCTATAATAAAAATATTGATTCCCACTGTGACGGCATAAAATGTTAATTTATTACTTAGACTTTTTTAAACTATTGATAAAAGCGCATCTATAAAATTATTCTTAAATTTCCTAGGTTTGCCTTTAGAAATTAAGAATGTATATAAACTAAGATATATGTTTGTACGTATTAAAATAAATCGATTCCAATGAAATAATGATTTATATTTACTTGTTATATATAATTACTTCCGCAATTATGCTGAATGTTATTACGGCAGATTGCAAACTTAAAAAAAAGCTATTGGTAATACATTAATTATAATCGTTATGTTTTGCTAAGGGTTATAATTTGGAATCGTTATTAAAAAATGTAGTGCAAAGATATGGTGTTATAAAGAGAGCTTTATTTGGGAGTAGATAGATTTCTTATGTTCATAGAAGTAACTATTTATGAGATTTTCTATATTTTGCTGTTTATTTAAACTCTCCCGAAATGTGTATTTTGTCTAGTCGTTTTCTTACTAAAAAGATTTTGTGTTGATGATGTAAACTTCTTATGAAACCAAATTTATCTCAAAACTTTATTTATGCCCAAAATTTTTAATTTGAATTCTAATTCATTAAGCCCTTCAGACAATGCATATTATTTTATTTATATTTATTTATACTACACTTGCTAAATTGTCATTTATTACATGAAAATTTAAATTTTCAGTGTCTCAAAATAGTGGAACTAGTTAACTGATGATCGACACGACTCGTCGGAGCACAGTCGGTTTGTGAGCACATATTTAAACATTTGAAATGAGTCACCTAAACTTTGCCTCGAAAAAAGAGTTAATATGACTCACCGAAATTTGCGCACCAAACGGTGAATAAGCCACCGGTGAAGCTGGCTGTTGTGACTGTTGCGGCTTGCCATCATTGCTGATGAATAGCAGCTGCTCTTGATATGAACCCGGTTGGGTGTAAGCACCGGGAGACAACACATTACCGCCACCACGTGTCGTTGTCAAATAGGCCGCCTGCGCGGTCTGACGATTCGACTGGAACGCAGCGGATGGCACAAAGCGTGTCTGTGCGTTGGGTGCGGCGAAATAGTAGCCTGATGTATCTGCAAGTAAAGATAAAACAAGAAACAACAATAAAATTTAAGTGAAAATGAAAATGTGTAAGCAAATAGGATATTAATTAAATGCTAAACAATAGAGTAAACAAACAACGATTTGTATAAGGAAACAAAAAGAAACGGATTACGAGTAAAAAAGATTTGCTTTCAAACAAAACAAGTAAGGAAGGGCTAGATTCGGATGTAACAAAACATTTTATACTCTCGCAAAGTCAAATGGTATACTCGTTTGAGATTTCTTTGTGGATTCACTGATATTTTCGGTAGAAGGTCAACTATAGGCACTGGGGTCCACATATTTAGTACTTTGGGCTTGAACAGTTTTGGTTCGATTTAGACAATTTTTGGTCACAAGATGGCATACTTTAAACGGATTATTCACGCAAAGTTTTACCCAGATACAGTCATTGTTGCTTGATTTGCATACTGGAAACTGAAAAAATCAAATAGAATTTAAAATGGTGTTATTAGGGAAATTGGAGTGGTTGTAATCCGATTTCGCCCATTTTCGCACTATAACATAGAGATATGAGAAGAATGTTATGCACCGAATTTGGTTAAGCAGATCTCAAGATATGAGTTTTCACCTAAGAGTGGGCTGTGCCATGCCCACTGTCTAATTTTGAACGCGGTTCCTATAAAGTCATCTCATACCATCCCAGAGATAAAATTTAATGTCTCTGGCGTGTTTAGTGCTTGATTTATCGCGCTTTTAGTAGTTTTTAACAGTACCGTTATATGGGGAGTGGGCGGAGTTGCCACCCGATTTCAACTATTTTCACACTGTAGAGTTCCTAAAAACATTTGCTCCCAGTGATTTTTGTTATTGTAGCTTTAGCGGTTTAGGAGGTATGCACATTAAACCTATTAGGGGCGGGACCACGCCCACTTAAAAAAATTTTAACTGCAGATGCCCCTCCCTAATGTGATCCTGTGTACCAAATAACAGTCTTGTATCTTATTGCGAAGCGTAGTTATGGCAATTTATTTGTTATTAATTAATGGCGTTTTGAGGGCGTGGCAGTGGTCCGCTTATGACCATCTGCAATACCAACCGTTTCACGGTACCAGGAAACATGTCTACCAAGTTTCATAAAGATATCTGAATTTGTACTCAAGTTACAGCTCGCACGGACGGACGGACGGACAGACAGTCACCCGGATTTCAACTCGTCTCTTCATCCTGATCATTTATATATACATAACCCTATATCTAACTCGATTAGTTTTAGGTGATACAAACAACCGTTAGGTGAACAAAACTATTATACTCTGTAGCAACAGGTTGCGAGAGTATAAAAATACGAATGGATGGGGTGGTTATCATAATTAAAATATACTATTTGCGAAGAGTTAATATGTAACTTGGTGTATAGCGAGTTATTAGAAGGCACTGTCCATTGTCTACTACAGATACCATATCTTATTTATACAATAATTTTTGCTTGTCTGTATCGGTTTGTTGTTGTTAGAAAATATGAAAATAATTACAGCTTTCTCTTTGTTGTTACTAAGCAAATTTATTATTGCCCAAATATTAAGGTGTAAATTCTTAATAAATACTTAATTTTATGAGAAAAACTGAACGAAAAGCAGTTTGTGGCACATGAAGCATTGGGAAACCTTCTCAAGTAGATATTTTATAAAACTTAAATGTTTGGTAAAAAGTATTAAGAAAATTTCGTAGAACAAAATAAAAAAATATTGGGAATAAGTCAGAATTTTTTTCGCAACTTTTGCAGTTGAATCGTAAACTTTAAATACAACAATGAGTGTGAGAAGTGCTACAGTGCCCTTTAGTTTCTAAATCGTTTTTATTCTCTTGCAACCTGTTGCTAGTGTAGTATAACAGTTTTGTTCACCTAAGGGTTGTTTGAATCACCTAAAACTAATCGAGATAGATATAGGGTTATACCTATATATACAAATGATCAGCATCACGAGATGAGTTGAAATCCGAGTGACTGTCTGTCCGTACAGCCGTCCGTCTGTCCGTGCAAGCGATAACTTGAGTGATTTAGATGTTTTAATTAAACTTGGTACATATGTTCCTTCATGCCTAAGGAGGATTGGTATTGCAGATAGATTGCGGAATCGGACCATTGCCAGTTCGCCAAAATGTCATTAATCGAATACCTATAAAGTGCTATAATTAAACTCCAGCTTAAGATACAAAACTGCAATTTGATGAAGAAGATTACAGTGGTGAGGGGCACCTGTGGTTTGAAAATATTTAAAACCGGGTATGGCCCCGCCAATGTATCCAGATAATACTTGGCACGAATAGCGCATTTGAGGTGTGACACCTTATGACCAAAAATTGTCCAAATCGGACAATATGTTCGATTACACCCGAACTTAGCCCTTCCTTACTTGTTCTTATTAACTATATTGAATGAAATTTTTCAATAGGTGACAACCCCTTCTTAATAACTATAACCATAATAATTATTAAGGCCTTTCAATTTGAAGTATGCATTTTACGAATTAATTTTTGCAACTCACCTCAAAAAATGTTTTAAGCTTCAAGTTTTCTTTAAACTCTTAACTTTGATATCCATATTCTCCTGTTTTTCATCTTATACATTTAAAATTTCGATTATTTTAATAATATATAAAATTATTAAAAAGTCTAATTTTATAATTATTTTAATAATATATAACATTAATAAAAATTGTAATTTTATAATTATTTTAATAACATAACATATAAAATTATTAAAAAGTGTATTCCCTCGCAATCTGTTATACGGGACCCGTCGCAGACCCTAGCAATTGTCGGTCAGCACAGGTACGGCGGAAACGAAGGAACGATTTTATCTACCTTCTTTGATTAGAGTCTTTAATCAAGAAACGATTTTAAAAAACTCCTGCCAAACGAAGAAGGCGCGCCCTACCTATTGTGGTATTGAAATTTGAACCACTTTACTTTGGCAAATGTAAACTATTGTCGAAGCATTAGCACGCTCAACCAACGCTCATCAAATAATTTGCTTGCTACCGCGGTATTTCACCCCAGCATTAGCTATCAATGCGGTGTGGTAAATTCTTTTTAAAAAAATTCTATATTCACCATAAATTTGTTTGGCGCTATTTTTAGCTAAAGTTCACCTATTTGTGTTGTGTTTTAAGCTGATGTTCTCTTTGCTGAGAAGAGTTTTCCAACGATACTCTCTCACACTCAGCAATGGTGAATCATGGAAATTAACACTGCAAAGTGCAATTCGCACCGTGTCCAATTGACAATAATTGAATTTTCATATGAAACTAGTCCTAACAATAAAAAAAATAAGCTATAGACTGACATATTGTATATACTGATTGCTTATGCTGACTGACTGCCTAACGAAGCAAATAATTTACATGCGGGCATAAGAAGACTGTGCCTGACTGACTAACTATTTTACGAAGCGCCTGTGACTTACAAGCGCGGCAAATGGGTTTCTACCTACATACCTATGTACATCTAGAAGTGTTCGCACGTAGTCGCAAAAGGATAAATATAATATTTATTTTTAGGCATCATAACAATATTATTACACGCACATATATAATTTTTAATTAAAATTATAATTTGCTTGCACATTTTTGCACACATTTTTCGCGCTTCACTACAGAAGCGCTCATTTGACGTAAGTTGTGTGCTGATGTTCCTCACGTATTTGGGGAAGCTTCATTAAAAGCGGTTGTAATGTGTAATGTAAAGTGATGTGATGCTATGCGTGGTAAATAAGGAATATTCATTGGGTTAATTATATATAATATAACATAATGTAACATAAAAAATTATATTACTCTCTACTTAGACTTAGGCACGAGACACTAAAATAGATAAGTAGATGAAGAAATCTTCTAAGAGTTAAGTGAAATATCGAACAGTTCAAACTTAAAACTTTCAGCAAAACTTCTTGAGCTCATTTAATATCTTTCGTCTTCCTTTTAACCATAACTGTAAAACTTTCAATTAGCTCCTAAAACGCAAAATTTTATTTCAGCTCGTGGTGGCATCCAGCTACTCCTATATTTTCGAGCTCCATGATATCCAGTTACTCCTTCTGTGGGAAGATTAGTTGTACAATTTGCTTACAGTTATGATAAAAATGTTTTGACTCTTCTTAAAGAGGTGACTTATTTTTTTAGCTTCCGTTAAATCTAATTATCTCATTCAAAGGCATAAGAAGTGAGATAATGTGAATACCGTAGAGTAAGATGTGGAAGTAACTTCTGATCCTATGCACTAGACACGAGTGAACTATTTGTTTTACTAGAGTTAACTAAGAGAATTATTTGTGAACCAATTAGAAAGTCATTACTAAATAATAAGATATGTGCATCTTGTTTAAAGGGGAAGAATGTTGGCAAGACCGACAGTACTTCGTCGTAGTGAGCTCTGTCGGCTAGCTCTTCCTCAAACCAACAAAAAGGTAAGTGGGCCAGTTTTCACCATATTAAATTGAAAGTGGCTGATTGCACTAATGCCTCGCCATCAATGCTGAACCTCCTTGATAACTTCTTTAACTAACCATGTTTGCTAAAGTTTAAGTTTTTGCAAGCACCTTCATTCCCAAAAGTATGGCTAAGCAGCTCTTTCTCTACTCCTGCTCTCCGGCTTTCGAGTGAATACGTCTTGTTCAAACCCGCTTCTAATATTTATTGTGATACCTTATTGGGATCATTGTGCAAAAATTTATGTATTTCGCTGTGAGTAAGTAATTTTCAAGCGGCTTTGACGATCGGTACACAGTTTTTTGATTTAGCAATCCGTCGTTTGCCATGCCTTCTATGGACCTGTCTTCTGCAATTGCATTGTGTCGCTCCGAATACAACTCATCAGCATATTGAAGCTTCTTTCAAAGTTTTTATTGTTTTATATGTCAACCTTTCTGCTAGTCTATTCGCTCGCCTACCAAGCATTCAGTGTTTTAAGAGTGTGCCCTCTTGCTCGCTTGTCTTCTTGTCTGAATACATTTCTGCCGTTTCAGCTT